TCGCCGTGAAGACGGGTTCGGGTACTTGCGAAGCTTCGTCGCAGATGAGGAAGTTGAAGCGGTCCAGGTATCCCCTGAAAGAGCCTTTTTTGTCGGTGGTGTTAAGCAGAGATGTCATGTGATGCAGATGATCCTTGGGTTCATATGCTCAAACAATATGTCCACCATCTCCTGCAGATTGTAGGTTACGTATAGCTCGGCCATAATGAAGTCTTTTTTATTTATTTATTTTATTTATTCATACGCACTTAGGCGTGCTATCAATCCGACAAAACAGCTAACATGAGGATACTAAGTAGAGCCGCGATGAAAATGAAGTAGTGAACACAAAACAAAACAGAAAAAAAAACACCGAATATCTTTTTCTGACCGGCACATAAAGATACAACATATGGGTGGGACAGAAATAAGCAGAAAGGACATACTACCGAGTAGTGCAAATTCTAGACTAAAGAATTCGTATATCCACTTACCCTCGCCAGCCAACAGACATGAATGTGGCCAAACAGTGGGAGCGGGAGCAGAAGCTCGGCAAACGGATACGCCGGCAGCCCCCGCCGACATACCCAGACGGGTACACTGGTAGGGGGCCACCAGCATACCCGCTCACCAAACCTCCGCATCACCCCCACCAACCGGCCACCACCATCCCCGTGAGCAGGGGAGGGAAAGCAGCCTTACGGAGGATAACTAAAGAGTGCCTACACTAACTCATGTATGCCGCCTAGAGCTTACTAGTCCACCCGCAAGAACACGCATATGGTAGTCGGGTCTCAACCAAACAAGGTGATCACGCAGACTCAACGGGTCTAGTACGACCTGAGCGGAAACTAAAGGCAAAAAGGCAAGGTGCTAGAACTTATAAAGACAACCAAAAAGGAAAAACAGAGCTAAAAATAACATTGAAGCAATCGGAAAGAAAGGAAGTAAAATGTGGTCGGATGAATGTAGATATTATCATTTGACATCTCGTAGCTGAAGTAACTCAAGAACATCGATCTTGGACAAGGCTTTTTTGAAAGTGGCAGAATTTTTCTGAAGTAGAAGTGCAGGGGGCAAACACTCAATCCATTAAGCTGTTCTGAAAGTAAATGTGCTTAATCTGCGTTGCCGACATGAGGTGGGCAGCTTAGGGTAGCGAAAAGCAATGAGAGAGCGCCTTCCATAAACAGGACGAAATGACCAAAAATTAGAAGGCTTCAGGCGAAGTTCACCTTTGAATATTCTGAAAGCCAAAATCAAATCCATTTGAACTCTTCTATAGTACAAACTTTTCAAGTTGAGCTTTTGCAGACGGGTGCTATACGAAGGGAGGCTTTGCGGATAATTTTCATCCGGAAAAGCACGATAGTATAGTACTCTGGTAAACGTCCTTTGTATGTTTTCAATTTTTTCTATATCTTTAGAGAGATAAGGACACCAAATAGAACTGCAATACTCAACCAAGGGTAAAATGAACATTTTATAAAGCTTGATCCAAAGAGACACATCATTACTGTATATATTTCTGAATAGACAGTGCATCACCCTCAAGCTTTTCCTTACAATGGAATCAATATGATTGCTGAAGCTTAGACCTTTTGAAATTAGAACGCCAAGGTCACGTACTTCATCAACAACACTCAAGGTGCCGAGATCGTGGTTATCGATCTTCAAGCAGTCCTTTCCGATAGGAAAAAGATGACTTTTATGAAAGTTCACATTCAGATGCCATCGTCGCGTCCATTCAAACATGCGTTGAACAGCTTCGTTAAGCGCAGCTTGAACTTCAGTTTTATCATCCTCACTATAAATAGCTGTGACCTTGATGTCATCAGCATACGCATGGACAAAGATTCTTGTATCAGTTTTCAAAAAGGAGGGAAGGTCATACGTATATAAGAGAAAGAGTATAGGAGAGAGAATGCCCCCCTGGGGTACTCCAGAAGGACATTTCCTCGGAAAGGAGAAGTCTTGAGAGAAACGCACTATCATTTTTCTACCACTTAGGTAAGAGCGAAACCATTCAAGCAAGCCACCACGTATACCTATACTGTGAAGTTTGGCTAACAGGCTTCCATGGCAGACCTTATCAAAAGCTTTGCTAAGATCAAAGTAAACCACGTCAACTCCTTTACCTTGACTCAGCGCCTTATTCCAAAGGTGAGTGCTATTTATCAGTTGCGTGCAGGTAGACGAGCCTGATAGAAAGCCATACTGTTCATTGGGAATGAGTTTGATAGTATCAATCCACTCAAGCAAATTCTTTTTGATGAACTTCTCTAATACTTTCAGTGGCGCTGGCAGTATGCTAATCGGGCGATGATTCGAAATAAGATTAGTGTTTTCCTTCTTGGGGATCGGCGTAACCACTGCCGCTTTCCAAGCCGGGAGAATTCACCCGTCATTAGCGAAATATTGAGGATATGTGTCAAAGGTAAAGTAAGCTGTGCTGCAAACATTTTGAAAAATATTTGCGGCACCCCGTCGGACGTAATCGATTGCGATGGCTTGAGCGTTTTAAGATATTTGGAAACAACTTCTGATGTAATGATAGGCAACTCAAAACTCTGCTTTGTAAAATCACTTAAGTTAACAAATGGTTCATTTTGTCTTGTGAATGTACTCTCAAAAAATTTGCAAAAGCTTCAGCTTTCTCAAAACCTGTGCTGTATTTTGACCCATCGTCGCCGAAAAGCACGGGTAAGGCAGGTGAACACTTCGTTCTATATCTCATATAGGAAATTATATGTTTCATATACTTGCTATTGGCTAATCTTCTTATCCTGTAAGCCAAATATCTTTTTAAGTGATGGTTTAATTTTTTGCTTATGTCTTTGTAGTGGGCACAGTTCAAGGGATCAGGCGTACTGTAAAACACTCTTTGTCTCTGTTCAATAAGATTCAGGATATGCACAGGGTACTTGACAGTGGCATTATGCTTTTGGGTTTTCATCGGGACAAATCTCTTCATGATGTCATGCACAATATAGAGAAATCGATTGTAGACGTCATTGACATCTATGAAGTTTCTGAATACTTCATACCAATTGATGGCAGAAAGTGAACTTTCAATTTTGCTCACATCGGCACTCTTGAAATCATAACATGGCAAGAATTGACATTCAAGATTAGGCATCGAAATAGAGAAGCCCACAATGTTGTGATCGGACGAACTCATTGGTGGGAGAATGGTAAAACTAGTTAAAAAATCAGCATTTGTTAGAACTACGTCCAATATGTGCCCTCCCCGCGTTGGAAGATCAACGCATTGCGTTAAACATAAAGCATCAAATGCGGAAAGGAATTTATACCCTGTGGCATTGGAGGCACTTTTATTTGCCCAATCAATCGAAAGATTCAAATCACCCGCCAATACAGACTTGACTCTGTGAGAAGAAACAAGATCAGAAATCAGAGAGAGAAGAAGGTCATCCTGCCTAGCATTGCTCTGCGGCGGTCGATAGATCAAAATAAATCTATATCGATCAGCACTCGTCAAAGATTGTAAGATAAAATCAAAGGAAATAACATCGGCCGCGAGATCCCTCAACTTGAAAGAGACTTCCTCGAAAAGAATGCTATGATGGATTAAGGCGCAAACTCCACCACCCCTCTTAGCCTTGCGGTCTTTTCTGAGCAGAGCATATGGAAAATCAGCACAAATTTCACCATTAGTTATGTTTGCGTTCAGCCACGATTCAGCTATGAGCAAAAGAGCCGGTTTATAAATAGATAAAAATTGGTGGAGGTGAGTGAGCTTGTTTTTCAGACTTCTAGCATTTAGCAAAAAACAATTTCTGGGAAAGGAATCAAGAACTTTCAGTTTTTTGAAGCCCCACTTCTGTAAGGGATCTCAGCGGCTTTGACAACTTCTCCTTTGTAAACAACATAAACCTTCTTACCTTCTTTCTCGTTCAGTTCACGTGCGGCAATACGAAGTTCTCTTTCGCGTGTTCTTTCCTCTAAGGTCATCGATTTGCGAATAAAAACGTTTTCGTAGGCTGGGCTGTTTCTGAGGAGGCGAGACTTGGATAGCATTTCTATGGAAAAAAATTTGCTGGAAAATATGCATTTTACTAATCTAGGCTTTCCCTCTCTTCCCCTACCCATTCTGAATATCTCAGTGGGGCGAGATTCGACGTTCAAATGGTTTAGCATTCCGTGAATGAAGTTTTCGGTATGTTCTTGCCTTTTGAGAGCAGGTAACGTAGGGTCTGGTTCGGGTACACCATAGATAACTAACGATCTCTCCCTTTTTTCGGCCTCCACAACCTTAGAGGACAACATAGGTAACTTACTTATTAGCTCCTCGAGTAGCGGGACAGCCTCAGGTGCTTTAGCACTGATTATGGAGTGGATCCTATCAAGCAGTTGAATAGCATCTTGATCCATGAAGGTCATTGCCTTAGCAGCGATGGGGGACGATGGCTTTCTTTTTTTTGAGAGTTGCGGTGTGGGGGTAGACATGACCGGGATCGATGAAAACAGCCGCACAGCGTGATCGCTGGATAGGGACTGATCGCTGGATAGGGACTTTTCGTTCCTGGTCACTGAGATCCATGCGGCGTTCGTGCTTGTAACTCTCGTATCTTATCCTGCCTTCGGCGAAGCGTCTGCACGTTTCCTCTTCTGAGCGTGTGAGAACAGATGCATAGACTGTGCCAAGGCGTTTGGGAACTTCGTTGAGATCTACTGGCGTTGATGGGACGTCAGTATCGAACGTTACTGTTTCGGCGACGAACCGGACCACTCCGACATCGTTGGCTTGAGCAAACCCTAACAGACTATCTGTGAACTGCGCTATGGCCGTGTTCGTAGAGGCCTTGACTATAACCTTTTGCCCTTGCAGCGCTTGATATACAGCTAGCCTAGCTCCCACTACTGTTTTTCCGGTTCCAAAGGCTGCTTGCAGCGCAATCAGTGGGTATTTGCAATTCCCTAGCCAGGGCTTCTTGTTGGTCGTTGGTGAGGTGTAGAAGGCGACCATGGATTGTGACCGTGTCTATGACTTGAACTTCCTACACTTGCTCCGCCTCTTCGTCCGTCATACATCCGAGTGTGACCGCTCCATAGGCGAGTTCGATAAACGTAGTGTCTCCTCCCGCTTCTCGAAGATCCTCGTGAATCTTCCTTCGTGCTACTGCCTCAAATGCCAGGTTGGCCTTCTCTAGAATTCGCGCGGGCTTGACGTATAGGTGCAGGAAGGCGGTGGTTTCTAGGATGCTGCCGACTTCGCGTACTGTTTGTACCATGGTGTCGTGGGATTGAGTGTAAAGGGCCGGTCATACCGGTCAGCGATCCATCGCGTCGCTGACATTCCCAAAGGACAAGTGTCACAAGGCCGGAGATAACTGCGTATCTGTGCTGGCTGTCGGGCGCGATGCATCGCGGGCCGTTTTCTACCCGGCCATACCGATTTGAGCGAAATCGCCGCGATCGTCGCTCATCCTAGCGAATTCGCGTCGCTCATTTCAAATGCGCGACGCGATGGATCGCTAGGATTGGGATCTCTTTCCAGTAAAGTTTTATGATTGTTCTTTACTTTCTTAAGCTGGTCTCGTGTCTGGGGACTGGAAACCATTTTAGTTTTGTCAAAGTGCATTGGTTTTCCGTGAAATGAAAGCCTTTTGATTTATCGGCAATTGTCACTCGCGCTAAATGCCTTGCACACTTCCCAAATTTGCCAGCTATCTGATTTTCAACTGATGTGTGTGATGGAAACCACTTAACTCGTTATTAAGGTAATCGGCAGAGAAGGTTTCACACAAATCATCGCACTAACCATCCAAAAACCTTCTACTTCTGCAGGGTATCATCAAGATTTGTAAAAATCAAATGAGTGTTCGAATTAGCACGACAGAGGAGATATCAGATTTGCCAGACATAATCTCAAAGAAATATATAAAATAGGAAATTTTGCAAAAGCACAAGGAACCAAGTTACAGGCGTAGATAACAAACAAAGACTGAAGACGAAGTGTGAGAATGCACACATCGCTGCGGTGGTATGCCCCCTTATTCGAGCGATCAGCGATCCGTCGCGCGTTTTCGTCGCTAGTTTCCACCCAGTCGCGACGATCATCCATCGCGGCGATGGATCGCTGACCGGTATGACCGGCCCTTAAGCCGACAAAACCACCCGCACCTGCCTGCTTTCCGATAAGAATGTAGCCTCCTCGACTTCGACTCTAGTGTATCGTCCTGCGTCTCTAATCCACACTGAAACGGGTCGGTGCTTTGTCCATCCCTTTCCTGACGGCATATCTGCCAGGGTGATCTTTAGTCGCAGAGGATAGGACGCGAGTGAGGGAACGGTGGCGGTTACCCTGGGAGTCTTGTGGTCATCATACATTGTGGTGTAGGCGGCCAGAGCAGCATAAGCCATGCTGTAAACCTTGTTCATCCGTCTGATGGCCTGGTCGTGCTTGTCGATTTATTGAACGGTCCTGTTCTATCGGAAAACCATTCGGCATCACCTTCTTGGGCCTTCATAATGTCAATGGAGCCATACCCTCATCCGGGTACGCGGGGGAAAAGTACTCCACTTGTCTACACAACCAGTCTCGTGCCGTAAGTGATGCTGAAGGTTCCGAGAAGCGTACTGTGGAGCTTATTTGGCGTCGACTTTGAGTGAAGAGGATCTCGTCTTCTGGACCTGCGGCCACTCGAACTTACACAGAGACTTCGTTATTCTTAATGCTTCACCTGCTCCCTCGATGGCCAGTTTGAAGTTGTTAACATTGTCGCCAAATTCGCCTCTACGGGCGAGGTCCAGTACGACAGCTGCGGCGTTCCGATCAGACGGCTGGGGTGGCGAAGGCAGAGTTAGCCGCTTGGAAGAAGAACGCGGAATTGATTTTGAGGGTGCCGTGCGCGGTTCTCTTGCGAGTTGGAGACATCGTGCCGGAAAACGCAGTGCCGCTATGGTTGGAGAAACATCATAGACCCATACGAAGTCCTTGACTAAAACTAAGGTTTTATCGTAACCATAAGCGTTGTTCTCAATGTTAAAGGAGAACTGATTTAACAGGAAGGGATACAGTGTAGCTCGCGACGGTCAGGCAAAAAGATAGGGAAATCCTTTGCTTCCAAGACGAGGTTGTTTGATGCGATAGCTGCAACTTGGTAAAGCACCGGTGAAATTCGGTGAAAAGGCAGTTCTTCCAAAAATTATAAGTTTTTATACATTTTGAAGCAGAAAATGCAGGATGAATCTTCGTTTTGAAAAGATGACTGCTTCCAAGTGTGGTAAATGTTTTATATTTTGATATTGTATATGTACGAAAAATTTCAGCCTCAAAAAACGTAGTACTGATTGAAGATGAGAGGTGGCTTTATAGCTGTGACCAACATTGGGAACTTTTTTCAAATTTTTCAATTTTTCTCCGGCCAGAATCAATGAAATTGGGAGCCGTTCCGGTCAATGATATGACGTTAGTTTGCACAGAGAATAGTGGTTTTCAGACAATTTCGGAAAAGAGAGAGAGCAAATTACAGTGATTTTTAGGGTGGCTTTATAGCTATGGCCAGCACTGTATTACAGGATTTCACATTACAAATTTTAGCGATTTCCCTGTTTTTGGGATAGATTAGCAGCATCAAAAAGCTAAGTAGACAATTCAGTAGTGCTTCCGCAGAAACTCTCACTAAAATGATTTTTTCTTCGCATTTTTGGTTTTCGGGCAATGTTTGAATTCAGGATAGATGGCTCTATGATCTTCGCAGAGAGCTTCCCAGAAAAACGAAATGTATGAACGAAGATGTCAGCACAACGACTTTGTAGATATCGTCCCAACTCCAACCCAGGGTTCAGTACCAGATAGAACCAAGGAGATTTCAAAAAGAAGTCCCTTTTGATTTTGAAAAATTTCCACGAAGTTGTCTTTGACGTTTTTTTTGACCCCTCCTCCTCTGCATTTGGCTTTCGACCTTCATTCTGGGTGGACGCGGCTCAAGCCTGAACAAAGGCAAAAAGCAGAAAACAAAAAAGAGAACCTACGATTGTACGATTTTTTCGCAATAGAACTGCTCATCCCCCACAATGCTCGGCCGCCTCGTGGGGATGACACTGGGTGTCGAACTGCGATGCACAACCGAGTGTATACTCTGGTAGGGCCTCCAAGCTGTGAAGGAGTTCGAGGTTTCCGATTTCGGCCGGATGCCTAGCTAAGAGCCGGCCAGGCCAGATCCACCGTCGTCTGGTTTTCTGGTCGCTAAGCGGTTCTCCCCGCTCATCCCGGGGTCAGCGATCGCCCCGTGGAAATCAAGAGTAGGTCCAATAAGTCTGCTCTGTAGGGGAACAAATCTTATTACTCAGTCAGCAAGAAGATACTTCGTCAGTTAGAAGAATTGAAAAAACCCTGTACATCGTATCCCGCCTACGGCGCCGGGTGGTAGCAAGAATGATGTCGTAGTCAAGGCGCCTTTCGGATCGGACAAAAACGACACGTCTTCCCGGACGACACACCATGGAGACTGCCTCATGCTCTGCACCTACAACGCTAGGACAGTCTCCACAAACGCAGACCTCCACGCTCTTCTCGACGCTGTGGAACACATGAAGTACCACATCATCGCTCTGCAGAAAACGAAGTCTAGAAAGAACGACGTGCGACAGATGAGTGATGGGAAGCTCATCATTCGTGGTGAGAAGGTTCCATCACAAAATGATGGAGGCGTTGGCTTTGTCGTCCACCCATCAATCGTCCATCTTGTCGATTGTCGATTCGCATGAGATCCTATCACATCGACTAGCCATCCTACGACTACGCACTCCACGTCAGAAGACCATCAGCATCTTAAGTGCTACTCGCCAACATCAGCACCTGACGATTCGAAACTAGATGCTTTCTACGAAGACGACGTAGAGGAGATCGTCCGCAACGAGAAGTCCTTCAACAAGTTCGTTGTGGGCGACTTCAATGCGAAAATCGGAATGCCACGAGGAATATAGGATCGGGAAGTTTGGATATGGGCTCCGGAACGAAAACGGCAACCGTCTCGTTGGGCTTCTCTCCGTCGCACGACTTTTCCAGGAAATTCCATCTTTATGAAAAGAGAACATCGCCAGTGGACATGGGAATCACTCAACGGAACGACTCATGCAGAGATCGACAACACTTTCACCAACCGAAGGTGGAGCTTGCTTGATATCTCAATAGTTCCATTTTTCTGCAGTGGCTCCGACCGCCGCCTCCTTCGAGCTTAGATACGATTCAGTCGAAAGGTGGAAAAGAAAGTCTGTCACACTGCCACCAGAAGGAAGGAAGTCGTTTATGACAGTAACAGGCTGGAAGAGCTCATTTCAAGTTATACTGGCCCATCGAGGAGGACCCAACGTACGACTACGACCGGCTCCTAGAAGGATTTCTAGCCTGTGGAGAATGCGCCTCAGTGACTTCTGAGAAGAACTTGAAATGCATTTTCAAAACCACCAAGGAACTGCTCGAAAGAAGAAGATTTCTGAGGCAGAATCCGAATGCAATCCATTTTGAGCGAAAGATAGTCAACGCCAGTTGCTGAACAGTTTTGTAGGAGGATCTCAGGAAGTACAGGCAAGCCAAGATATTGGAAGCAGCCGATGGAAGAGAATTCTTAAAAAGTGCCGAAGCGACCTCCGTGAATATCACGTACCGCTGGCTGCACTATTGAACGAAGACGGGACTCCGACTTCTTCCCGATATAAGATGGAATTTATCGCAAAGAACTTCTTCACCAACCTCTTCCGCTCATAAACAACCGTGCCGACGCCCGTTGTTCCCGCTGGAGAAGTACCACCACGAATTTTACCTGCTAAAGTGCGCACGGCGATTCAGACCATAAAGACATCCACGGCTCCAGGACCAGACCATCTTTCCGTGGAATTTCTGCGAGCCGGAGGACACCGTTTACACGAGGTTCTAGCGTCGCACCTGACATCTTACCTTCAGAAGGAGAGGATTCCCGACCAGTGGAAAACGTTAAGAATCGTCCTTCTTTTCAAGAAGGGTGAACGGGAGGATCTTCGGATCTCCGTCCAATATGCCTGCTGAGTGTGCTGTACAAGCTTTTCACGAAGATTATCCTCGCACGCATATCTAGGACACTGAATGAAGCCCAACCCCAAGAACAAGCTGGATTTCGCAAAGGATTCAGCTGCATGGACCACATCCAGACGGTTTCGAGGGTCATAGAAGTCTGCTGGGAGCACGACTGCCTCTCGTCCTAACCTTCGTCGACTACGAGAAAACCTTTGACAGCGTCGAAACCAACGCCATCCTGTCTGCGCTAGTCGACCAAGGAGTGGACCCAGCTTCGTGAGGACATTAGCCGACTGCTATAAGGACCGTACAACGGCGATGCAGCTGTTCCATCTCTCCCTAACCAGTTGAGAAGGGGGTCCGACAAGGCGACACAATTTCGTCGAAGCTGTTCACCGCGGCCTTGCAGTGGGTGATGAATTCGCTGGACTGGAACGAGAGAGGCATACGAGTTGATGGGAGATTTCTGCCTAACCTTCGTTTTGCGGACGACATCGTTCTCTTTTCGAGCAGTATCACTGAAGCAGAGACGATGCTGAAGGAACTGAACGAAGTAGGGAAGAAGATCGGATTGCGAGTAAATTGGAAGATAACTCAGTTCATGAAGTAGGCCCTCTGCGAAGATGCAGAAATGGAATCGGAGGCACTCCTATCATGAAGACGTCTTCTTACGTGTATCTCGAACGTTCGATGAACATGGAGAACGACTTGAGGGAAGAACTTAACCGGAGAAGAAGAGCAGCCTGGGCCGCCTTTGCGCCTCTGAAGGAAGCTACCGACCAACTGACGAACCCGAAGCTTCGTGCCCACCTGTTCTACTCAACCGTTCTCCCGAGGATTTGCTACGCAGCTGAGACTTGGGCTGACACCGTAGCCACGTCGAAAGCTCTAAGGACCACCCACAGAGCGTAGTATGTAGTCTTCTGAAGATGACCCAACACAAGCAACACCTTGTCGGACTTCGCAGTACGGATATGAGAAGAATGCCTCGTCTTCGTGACCCAGCGGAATACGTTGCGAGAGCGAAACATCGATGGGCCGGTCACATCGTGAGAAGAACAGACGACAGTTGGACACTAAGAACATCGGAGTGGATTCCTCGCAAGCAAAAGTCCCCGAGGAAAACCTTCAACGAGATGGGCAAACGTGTTCGCGTAACGGATGGACCAGCTGAGAAATCAGCTGGATACGATTTTCGCCCCTGGAACTCGTGGACGCAGCCACCGACGACAGCCAAGAAGATTGTAGATGTCTGAAGCGAGGGACAGAGATCAATGAAAACTTATGTACTGGGGCCCGCACGTCACGTGAGGACGGGCCATCTAAGTATCTAACTAACTGAGAACTGCTCATACCTTCGTCCACA